TTGGTATTGTGAATCACATTGAATGACATCTCTGACCTTATATATCTGACATTAGTCTTTTAAATTTGTGCATTTTTCTGTCATTTAGTTGGCTTGGAAAGCACTAACATCTTAAGAGAGAGAACTAAACTATGGTTTCCTTGGCATCCTTAAATCTGAAGCTTTACCTTATGAAAAGAGTGTCATCACACAAAAGGAACAACCCTTCACTAATTTTGTCTTTGATATGTTCTAGGCAGTACCCGTCAAGAATAAGTAATCACTAAAAAATATGTCATCATTCTGTTGGAAACAGTGATTTCAATAGGCGCTCGGGCGAGACGAGGCGAGGCTCGAGTGCCTCGCTTCATTTCCATACGGCGCGCTTCAAAGAGGCGCTCGCCCGAGCCCAGGCACCGGGTGCTTCGAGCGAGTGCCCGGGTTAAACCAGGTGACCAAACCAACATTTTAGGTCTGGTTCGGTCTCCGGTGCTTTAGTTGGTTCAATCGAACCAACTAAAGCATCGATATTAGCCTTCCTCTCGCGACTTCCCAACCCTAACCCTGCTCGTCGCTATCGCTCTCGCTGTCGCTCTTGCCGTCGCTGTCACTGCTCGCTGCTATCGTTGCTGCTGTCACTGTCGCCACTCCCGTTGTCGCTTCTCGCTGCTACCGCTGCCACTGTCGCCGCTCGCCTCTCCCGCTCGCGCACCTGCTGCTATCTCTTATCACATCGACTTGATAGTATACTATTAACAGTATATTAACAGTATACTGTTAACTGTATACTAGTAACAATAATTTTTTTATTTATTAGATTAATAATATATTATTTTGATTTTAATATTGCTAATTTCTATTTATTTGAAATTATTGTTATTGTTTTGAATTTTGAGATTTTTTGTTAATGTGATATTGTGGTTTTTGTAAGATTTTTTAATTTAATATCATATTTTTATTTAAATAATTATATTTATTAATTATATTATATATTTTAATATTTTAGCGTCTCGCTTCGGTCGGGTGAGCGCCTAGCACTTTGAGCTTTTTTAGACCTTGGCGCCTTTTGGCATATAGCGCTTTTTAAATCACTGGTTGGAAAGGCCATTTCATTGGAGAGGTTGAAGGAATAAAAGAGACTGAGAGAGACCATCATGTTAATAAGGAAAGCCACACATTAAAACATAGTTAGTGATTCCTAAGTTATTGAAGAAAATATTAGGATTTGTAATTTTAGGAAACATGTATTCAAAGCCTTAATTAAAATAATTGAAAATAGTTGACCTATGGTGACATTAATAAAAGAGTGCAATGTTGTGAACCAAAAATGGCCAAAGAATGGACCAATCTGTTTCCAATATTTTTGTAATTATGAAGTCATAAATCATGTGGCTGTTGATAAAAATTTTACCTGTGTAAGATTGTCTATTGTATTCTGTGTCCTTCTGGCTACTAAATTCTCCATTTGAATTGAATATTGTTCGAACGTTGAATGAATTTTGTGTGTGTTTCCAATGTCATTTTGCTGCAACAAAGTAGCTTTCTCATCTCCGGCAGGACATTGCTTCTTGTTTTTGGCAATTCTTTCAGTAGGATCCTTTGTTGTTGACTGGTTAAGTTCCTTCCACTTAATGGTGGGATCTCTGTACCTCATCTTTAAAAATATATGTCGAGATTAGTTTCACAAAATTCTTAGTGAGCTGGGATTTTGATCTTTGGAAATCAAAATTAAAAATGACAACACTTTTAAGTTTTACTGACTCAATCCAAATGGTGGGCATTTGGGATTATAGTGATTGATTGTAGACCCAACAAGATTTATTTTGATAATCTTGGTATCTATTTGTTTCATAATGATCTTCTATTGATAAGTTACCTACTTGCTTTAATGCTTTTTCTCTCAAATGCTACCTTGTACAATAGTCCCCGAAACATCATGCAATAAAATATATAAGCTACAAAACAATATGCATGACTATATTCGTACTTTTTTTTGTTACTTACATAATAATTTTTTATTGCCAATTTGGACCTTGTCTTATTTAGTACTCTTAGGGTCTCTTTCTTACTATGCTAAGGTTTGCCTTTATATGTGATCCGCAGACAGATGGGTTAGTACTTATTACAGTGATGGATTGGTCACTATTTTGCGAAGAGTGGAATGCTAAAGAGGACAAAGGCATATCTGCTGAAATTGTAGTTCTCAGCAGCCCTGCAATTAAATTAAGTGGTTCCTGTGATGACATGCCAATATCGGATGAGGATTTGGACCACTCAACAGATGAAGCAAATGATGGCTTGGAGGCTAGAAAGTTGCTTATTAAAACTTATCCAGAGGTAAAGTCGGAAAGTATTTTAATGGTAATTAATCCATAACTTATTGGAGATGAAGACATGTCCTGGTATTAATATTATAATTATTAGCAGAACCTTATTCAAGTGGTTCCACCATGACACGTAATGTCATGTGGTTTTTGTTCATTTGCTATTTGCAGCATACTAAAATCTTGTCCACAGTACGTATGATCCACCTATGTCTGATAGCTTATCACCTTCCTATCCTTGCACAGACTTCTTGTAAGATTGTTACAGGATCATTGCTTGCAATCTGAAAAGCCATTTATACATTTAAATATTTATGCAAAACTCTGTTCCAAATCCCGACAAATTTGAAAGATAAGTGAATAATGACTGATTTATGCATTTAAATATTTTGGAATCATCATATGCGATATTGATCATTAAACAAATATGACTTGGTTTATCTTTTTAACCAACTGTTTCTGTCTCTTGACAACAGGTGTTATACTAAAAAATCTTGTTTGCTTAAAGTTCACCATTGTGAATCTTTGGCCAATGCAATCAGTTCTTCTAGTTTTGTTGGTTTTAGCTTTGATCAACTGTTACTGAGTGTTCTTTCACTTGGACTTCTCAGTTTGCCTTTTTTTTGGTTCTCCTTCAGAAATTCCTTCTCTGTTTCTTTGCCCTCATATTTATTCAAAACTTTTGGATATTTACCTATAAAGATGTCATTTTTCCTGCCACGTTTCTTTGTGTTGTTTCAGTAATCTATTGAGGTTTCTTTTGATATCAAAATGCGTTTTATTTGTTGCTTCTGTCTGAATATAAGTCAAAGTTGTCGATTGTCTTCTTAACTAAAGAATTATCTCATACAGCATATTCAGCGCATGAACCACTTAGAATTCAAGGATCACAGAGCATCAAATGAGTTTAATCAATTTGAAAACTGTGTCATTCATGTTTGTCGTAATCAAACAGTAAGTTCTGTTTTGTGGTTAATTGAGTCTGAGCAATTTTTTGCAATGTTTAGTAGTTCTGGCTGATCGCTGTAAGCTTTTCATTGCAGACCACTTTTATTTGCTAATTGGGAAATACTATGATGCAGACATGTGAATATTGTATTGGAGAAAGAGAGAGCTGTGAATTGATGCGCAAGCTCAATTATTGTGATGAAGCTATTTGTGTGTATCTTGTGCGTGGAAAGGAAGTTCCAAAGTCCATCATGGAAGCCTCTGCATCTGCTTCTGAACCGGATCGTCGCACTTCCAAGCGATCCAGGAAAACATCATTTGGTAACTCGGTCAACTTAAGAGTTTCAGGAACCACATCCATCTACCAGTTGAAAATGATGATTTGGGAAGCTTTTGGGGTATGCGCAATAACATTTTGATAGCACCTCAAACGTTATCTAGATATGCATATTTAGTTGTCTTGCTTATGATTACTTCCATGTTAAAAGACAGGGTTGCCAATTGCTCAAGGCTTTTGCCATTGCAGGGCCTGGTTAATCGAATAGATTACCGTCTGTCTAGTATTTCCTGGACAAGTGTTTTTTCTTGTGGCTGACTAGTATTTACATTTGTGGTACAAAATTTTTTATGACTGAGAAGTCTCCCCTTGACTCATGGTCTTAAATCATTTTTTAACTTGTAAAAGGTTGTCAAGGAGAACCAAAAGCTTCACAAAGGTTCCACAGAGATTGATGGTGATTCTGCCACCCTAGCTGACAAGAACATTTTTCCTGGAGATGTTCTCTGGGTCACAGACTCTGAGATTTATGAGAATCGTGATATAGCCGGTAATAAGCTGCACCACACCCGAGAGATACTTCACAGAAATTTGTACTTGCTTGTGATGATTTATCCACCGGTTGCTTTGCAGATGAACTTTCAGCACAGAAGTTTGACTCCAGACAAGCTGAGGAAGGCTTCCGGGGAACACTTTTGTCGTCAGATGTCCCAATTCATAGCTTTGAGGATACTTGATGGCCTTTTGTCTCTTCAACCGAATGGGTGCATCTTGTGCTTTCACATCTGATGGTGGTCACCAGGAATGGTGTCCTTGAGAATTTCTAGGTTGAGATGCGGAGGTGAGTGATATAACTAATTGTCTTCTTTGGTCATATTATGGAATGAGTTGCTAATCATGCATTTTTCAGTAATTTGCTTGCCCCGGATTATATATTATTGAACACTCATTTCTGTTCTCAGCATAGTGTGGATGCAAACCATTGATTGCATGCATACGGAATAGGAAGTCATCCAACAAAACTTTATACCTTTTTAAATCAGTGTTGTTATCGCTTGCATGCATACGGAATCTCATTTCTTTTCTTTTTTTTCTTCTTTTTCAGTTGGGGGACTGATGGACAAAGCTAGCTACTCAGTCGATGATGATGATGACGAATGTTGGTTGTTTAACCAAATCATTAGAAGCAAACCCCTGTGTTTTGTAATCTGAGGAATTTTGGAAAGAAAAAGAGAAATGTGAGAACCTGTGTGTATGTAGCAGCGCCGGGTTTTTGATAATTTTGCATACACAGCACTAGTTTTAACTTATCTTTTTTACTTGTTTAGGATTCTCTTCTCTTTGTGTGCATTATTTCTTCAGAGACCCTTCCCACGAGGCGCATCACATCTGACAGTGCTATTGGGCTATGGCAATAATGCTCTTTAAATAGCCGTAGGGCATGGGAACGGATTTTTACCGCCGTAGGCGCATCACATCAAAGTACCGCCATTTCTTATATTCTTAAAGGTGAAGAATAATAATCTATATTCTTAATGTTCTAACGAAAGCACTAACAACACCACCAGAGTACTTGTAAATTTTGGTCCAATACAGAACTTTGTAATTGTAACATGAAGCATGCATGGCTAAGGAGGTCACAAATTTTGGTCCAGTAAAGAGAGAGAGAGTCCTTGGAAGTGCTCCTAGCTAGCCGAGGAAGTTCATGATCACCAGGTGGAGTACCAGATTGCAGAGAACAAAATCAGCGAAAGCCCGTTCAGGAGGTAAATCCTGCAGCCCTTGTTCTTGTTAATAATAACGAACGCTATTCAAAAGAGAAACCCTGAGGGGCTGTTAGTGTTCACCTTAAACTCCTTGTTCTCTTTGTTGACTTGACTGCGGAGACAAACTGCATTATCAAACAAAGCATTTATTTAATGATCCAAATGCAGTCCAAACCTCGAATTAAAGAAGTGGTGTGGTGTTGCCCCTTACCGGCCAGTACTGCTGTCCCCACACAGGACAAAACACCAGAGAGGAAAGAGTTGAAGGGAAATGATCCAACTATTCCCATGTATACAACCTGTGTTGCAAACAAATTTTACAAAATACATTTTCTAAATCACAATTTAGTCACCAAAACACATGCATTCTTCCTAGTCCATTAGCATCATCATCATCATATGAGGATAAACATAATTAGAATGACATGGATAAGCAGTTAAATTATATTTTGAGGCATTCTAGGTGCCAATATCCCTTATTGCCCAAGATTCTAGGTGCTCTCCTAAGCAAAACAAAATGTTTATCTTACAAAAAATATGTAAGGTACATCAAAGGTACATCATTCAAACAAGAATTCTTAGGGATTATTATTACATGTGCAAGATGATTATTGCAAAAACATCAAAATACATTCATCTAGCAATCTATAGGAGAGAGAAAAAGGAAAGAGGTAGGGCGGTAGTGGTACTGACTGCTGGCTGAAGAGATGAGGAGAAAACAAACGAAAGTGGGAGGGCGGGGAGAGATGATGTCGACAGTGAACTATGGAGAGTAGAGGAGAGATCAAAACAGAGGTGGAGAGCAGACAAGGGACATAATGGCAGATGGAAAGAAGGAGAGAAGAGGGAAAGGGAAAGAGCAAAGGAAGAGGAGTGAAGTGAAAATGATAGCGACCGACTGCAGACAGGAGAGGGGAGTTGGGTCTGTGTGGTTCAAACTAGGTTTCAATGGGTTAAGATAAATTGAGGTGCCTGCCTAAATGAGGTCTAGCAAAAGGCGCCTCGCATAGCCCTTAAGACACCATGGTTAAACGCCTAGATGTCTCATGACAACACTGATATTCTTGCAGTTTTCATATTGCTACTTGAGAGTTTAGACGGCATTGCTTACACATTAATCTTCTTTAACTCACAATCTAGCTTTCCTTAAGGTTCGCCCTCATTACTTATTGACTATAAATTCCACCTATCTGTTCCTCATCATAACTTCTCCATATCAAAGTAATCGATATTAAAATAAACTTAATAAAATTTTCACAAACACTCATATCCATAAAGCATTATTGGTCTCACAACTTTCTTATAAAACTTTACTTTTAATCTCAAGGGTATCCGATGATCACACAAATATCCAAATCTCTTAGGGCCCTGGATGCTTCAAAACTAAAACTATCTAGGAATTTGATTACTTGAATTTAAATGGAGTCAGAAACCAATGAGGGCATATTATATTTAAGCTTCCTTGTAAATGAATTAATGCCACCAAATTATCAACTTCAAAAATCACCAAAAGATAAATGATAAAGCATCTATTTCGCATGGACTTTTATCTCATCTCATATTTCTTTATTGTATTTAACTATCATAAAATAATGATCAAACAAAGATTTATCCTATTGAAAACTCATATGCAAATGGCCTAAAAAATTTCAAAAATCTAGAACAAACGCTGCTCAGCATGTCAATTGAACATATGGAAGAAGTAATTTGCCAAAATAAACTCCCCCAAAATTCCCAAGAGTCTCTTGAAAAGTCAACATACTCTTCTTTCGTTGCCAATAATTACTCTGACATTTTCAATAAAAAAAAATTTCTGGTACAAGCTCCAAGTCTTAAATGAGAAGCATACAAGTTCCATAAATAAAATCTAGTTTGTTTTAGGATAAAGAAAACTATGAGCTAAATGAATAAAACCAAAGAGTCAACAATGTTTCTCGTCATAATAAGACCCATTGGTAGAGTAAGCAAATCACGACAGAAAGAATTGCAAACTCTTACCTGAATAATTGCTGTGGCGATTGCAAAAACCACATATAGATCAATAATCTGCAGATATGCATAAACATGGAGAAAAAAAGTCAAATGTAGCTTAACCCTCACTACTTCATCAAAAAAGAAACCAAGCTGGCCCTACTAGAAAATGAAGTGACAATTCTACAAGGGCACACACACAAGTGCATAGAGGAAAAAATAAATACTTTGAGATTGGTTGGCGTGGCAGCATAAGCTGAGCGCAGAGAACGAATGAGAGCTTGGGCATCACTTGCATTTGACTTTGCCATTATCAACTCTTGCTTTCCTGAATCTGAAAACAGACTAAACAAGACACATTGACAGTTTTTCACTAAAATATGAAAATAAAATAACACTGACATAGAAGGAAGATATGAAAAATGTAGTAGCAAAGAAGTTCACAAACACTTGGGGTTCACAAGAAATGTCTACCACGCCAGAAGAAAATTGGTTGGTCAATCGAACAATATTCACAATCATGTACCACAGTCTAACACAAGGCCTAGAAGGCTATGAACGTTCTTACGCTTGCTGGTCACTGGAACAAAAGGCAAAGAACCTAATGAGATCCTCTAGAGTTCAGACAGAAAAATCATGCAACAAAAGTATAAGAAACTTTATACAGCAACAAGCCATAAGTTCCAATTGTTTGGGGTCTATTCACATCTCAAACCCGAGGGGAAATCTCACTAGTCAAATGAGAGCATCCACTGTCTTTCTTATTGTATTCTGCAAACAATCTTCTTGGTTTCCGATCATGATAAAACACTTATCTTTGCAAATTTAAGTACTCTTAAAAATTTAAATGAGTTATAAGATAAGCCCTAGATTTGATTAACATCAACTGATGATTGATCTACCCCTCCACAAGCTAATCTTGCATGACAATCCACCAACCTAATATAAATGAAAATGAAAAACATCATTCTAGTCAAACTCATAAATCCGACTACACCACAAATAGCCCATTACACCACCCAACATCGTTCTACGAGAATTGATTGGCATACCCGCATTTATTCTTTCAAAACCCACGTTAATGAATACCACGGATCTTTTGTTGCTTACCGACCATTTGAGTCTATCATTTCATTTACTACAAATTCTGAGTCATATCGGCCATACAAAATCCTCTTCCTATTTTGGCAGCACCGACCCCCATCATCTCACAAAGGATTATGCAACTTTCTCAAGGTTCGTGGAGCAGCAGCAACAACAACAAAGAACCAGTCAGTAGATCAATCATCGCAAGAAATCGCATCGACAGATGGTAGAACAAACCCTCTCAACACTACAAGTTATCAGCCCTAAAACCCAAATGATAAGGACTTGGGCGACCCAAAAGATAGACGACGAATATAACTATGCCATCAGAATAATCGTTCTTTAAAGATCCAAAAAAGAATAACCAGTTGAGACGCAAAGATCGACACAAACCTTCGAGAAAGAGAAGAATAAAAAAACGCGAGTAGATCTGCCGTCGCAAGAAACCACATCGAACAACGGTGGACTAAACCTTCTCAAAGATACAAGTTATTAGCATTAGGACTCCAACCGATCGGGTCTTGGCGGACAACAAGAAAGGAAATCGTTCCATCAGAATTATCATTCTTTGTAGATCCAAAAAGAACAATCGGATGAGATGCAAAGATCCAAAACAAACTTCAAGAAATACAATGAAAGGAAAGGAAGACGACGGAGAAGGGAAGAAATCAAGAGACGAACCCGAGACGAGTGAGCGCAGATGGACACCGGCCGCGCCTTCTCTCCGCCGTCGACGCCGAAGGGAAGCACAAGGGTTTATATCCGGAGAAACAAGCATTCTTTTTCAGCCCGTCTGTTATAAACCTCTCCATTATACCCGGTCGATGATTTGACGAATCAACGTGGCTTTGTGGGCCCAATCAGAAAGCAGGTAATCGTCAAGATCGTAATATTTCTCACTTCACTCTTTAACGATGCCACGCGTGTTGCACGTGAAACGAATATATATATATATATATATATATATAGCTTCTCCTCCTGTTAGGAAGAATAAGGAATCACCATCCAATTCCATGACCCTGTGAAGGCTGCAAATTTTGGGACACTAACATCACCAAAGGACATTGAATCATTAGCACTTCCAGCTCTTTGTTTAGATTAGAGAGGATAGATAAATACTAAACATCAAACTACAATACTTAGATCACTCAGCCAATAGGAGAAGTGCTAATGGCAAGAGAATGCCAGTGGAAACAGCCGATGGGAAGGCAATTTAGACGTTGTCATGTCATGGCACGGGCAGTAATGCTAGCCAGCGTATTATTACACGACCTCCTCCTTTGTTCCTTCCTCATCCCAATCTCCAAAGTAAATGCCTGCCTGTGTTACGAACATGTAACGACGCTCCGCTTTTCCTCCTCTTCTTCTCTCACTCGCGCTTCGATTCTCCCTCTGAAACAGCGTGCAGATGGACGGAGGACTCCTCTTTGTGTTGGCCATCCTCACAGTCACGTCCGTCGTCGCGGCGGCCCTCGACGTGACGACGCTCTTCGGCAAGGCCAATCTCGTGCCTTCCGGCGACGGCAGAAGCCTCAAGCTACTCGTCGACCGCTCCTCCGGTAAGCAACCGCCACCCGCCGCTGCCTGCTGCGCTTGTCATGCACTAATGGCGGTCCTTCTTCTCCACGTCGTTTAGGTTCGGGATTCATATCGACGGCCAGGTACCACCACGGACTCTTCAGCGCCTCCATCAAGTTGCCGCAGGTCGTCGCCTTCTACGTGAGTTCTTACTGCCTTCCATTTGTTAGTATAAACAACCTTGAGCCGTGGCTTTGGGGCTGACACGGCTCCGTTTGGGTCCAAATGATAGGGGATCTTCCCGGGACAACCTTTGAGTCCACTGAGGTAGTCGGCTATGATGGTCCGATCGGAAAGAGGTCGTCGTTTCCTCTAGGAGGGGGCTTCTCGCTTGGGCGTTTAGTGGGAGGCCACCGTCTTCACACCTGCACACAGATCGGGTCGGGAAGCTCAACCCGACCCCTCCGACGATCAAGTTAGCCGAGAGTGGCAGGGAGTTTGTTTAGCTAGCTTTTTCTCTCTTTTTTTCCTCCTCCACTCCCTCGGAGCACGAGGGTTTTTATAGTGGGAGTTACCGTTGCCTGATGTGCCTGCCCGTAGGATCGTACTCCTAGTAGCGTCTGACATCGATGTTGGCGTGGCGTGAGGGATCGAGCCTGAGCGGGGTATTAATGTGCCTTGGTAGGCGCTCTGATTCGCGTTGACCAGGTGCCTCATTAAGTTGACAGAGGTGTGATGCGTCACCTGGTGCAGCTGATGTCACGTGAGTCTTATCGCAATTATTACCCTCATTATATTCCCCCCCAGAAAGAAGCTATGCGTCGGTTGTCGTACTGGGAGTCCGATGCATGGCTTCGACTTTGAGAAACTGTCCTAGCCGGGCGTTAGCCGGTCCGTTGCTAGGGGTGCGGGGATCGTGGAGTTTAATATTCAAGGAGGGTCGCGTGTGCAGCGGTGACCCTGGGTAGTGTGCGGCCGAGGAGCATAACTCAGTCAAGTAGGCTGAGCAGAGGTTGTGGTCTCGAGCGACACTCGACCGAGGAGCATGGCTCAGGCGGACAGGCCGCGCAGAGGCAGTGGTCTTGGGCAGCATGGAGCCGAGGAGCACGACACAGGCGGGCAGGCCGCGCAGGTGTGGTCTCGGGCAACATGCGGTCGAGGAGCACGACGAAGGCGGGCAAGCCGCGCAGGTGTGGTCTCGGGCAGCATGGAGTCGAGGAGCACGACGCAGGCGGGCAGGCCGCGCAGGTGTGGTCTCGGGCAGCATGGAGCCGAGGAGCACGACGCAGGCGGGCAGGCCGCGTAGGTGTGGTCTCGGGCAACATGTGACCGAGGAGCACGATGCAGGCGGGCAGACCGCACAGGTGTGGTCTCGGGCAACATGTTGCTGAGGAGCACGATGCAGGCGGGCAGACCGTGCAGGTGTGGTCTCGAGCAACATGCGGCCGAGGAGCACGACTCAGGCAAGCAGGCCGCGCAGGTGTATGGCTCGGGCGGTAGGCCATGCAGGCGTGGTCTCGGACAACATGCGGCCAAGGAGCACGGCGCAGGCGGGCTGCGGCCAAGGGGTATGGCTCGGGCGGCAAGCCGTGTAGGCATGGTCTCGGGCAACATGCGGTCGAGGAGCACGGCGCAAGCGGGTTGCGCCCGAGGCGTGTAGATACAAAGGGGATTAGGCTGGGGCGAACCATGAGCCGAGAGGCGGTCAGGTAGGTACTGAACCTTCGCTCGGAAGAGACTGAGGTAGGGCTTAGATTTATTTTCACGAGGACTACATCGAATAACCATCGCAGGTGCTTGACCTCTTCTATGGAGCCTACTGTTAAAAGTCGTCCCTTCTCTTCACGGTCGCCCAGGCCTCCGCCGCGATGTATTGGTTAGCCCGCTAGAGCATATCTGGTACCATGGTGGGGGGTCGCTCCATGAGGGACCAGAGGAATTTGGAAGGTCGCAGGCCTATCATAAACGCCTACATTAACAAAGAGGGATAAGCGTCCGGCAACCCCCGGATTTGTATTATAAAGCGATTCATAAAATGGAGAGAGGCTCGTCCTCCCTTTGGTTGAGTCCAAGGAGCAGTGCAACGGACGACTTTGGCCAGACGTAGGCCAAAAAGTTAAGCTCAAAGTCTTTGACGAGCTGATCAAAGGAGGCAATCGTCCTGGTCTTCAGACCGTAGTACCATGTGCGGGCTGGCCCCCTTAGAGTTGTGGGAAACGCCCTGCACATCAAAGCGTCAGAGGTTCCATACAATGCCATTTGGGCACGAAAAGCGGCTACGTGGTCCGCGGGGTCGGTGGCACCATCATATGCGTCCAAGGAGGGGACCCGGAAGTTCAGGGGGACTGTCTGATCCTGCATCTCGGGTGTGAACGGAGATCCCTAATGTGCGTCCTCCCCAAGCTCTCCCTTGGACCTGCGAACCTCTTTCTGCACCTCGTCGAGTCGCTGGCTGACGAAGCGCAACTGGGCCCGCGGGGAGTCCATAGAATCCGAAGATACTGCCTCGGGTTCCGGGCGACTGCTCGGGTTTGCCATCACTCGATCCCCGAGTGGGGCCGGTCGGACCCGAGGCGAAGTGGGGAGCTCCGAAAGTGTCGTGTGGGCCCGAACGGGCGCCTCGTGTTGTCGCAGTGGTTGGATCGTAGGCGAGTGTGCCGGATGAGAAACGAGCGGGATAATGGTTTGCACCATACCCGTCAGAGCTCGGACTTGAAGAGCGAGTTCCTGAAAGGCCTCGGATGATATGGGCGACGGGTCGGCTGGGGCTCCTTCGGGCGGCGACAAGCCCGGGTCATTGAATATCCGCCAATATCGCTTTGAGGTCATGGCGGGGTGTTCGTCACGATGATCTCCGTGCGGGGGATGTTCCCCCGAGGCTCCAATGGGGTGCGACCTCTCAACCGCTGGCTCATCTGAGCCGCTCGGGTGATCACCCGACATTCTAGGCCCTCCTTTTAGCACAAAAAATGTTAGTGTAAACAACCTTGAGCCGTGGCTTCGGGGCCGACACGACTCGGTTCGGGTCCGGATGATGGGGGATCTTCTCGGGACGACCTCTAAGTCTGCTGAGGTGGTCGGCTGCGATGGTCCGATCGAAAAGGGGTCATCGTTTTCTCCAGGAGGGGGCTTCTCGCCTGGGCGTTTAGTGGGAGGCCACTGTCTTCACACCTGCACACAAGTCGAGTCGAGAAGCTCAACCCGACCCCTCCGACGATCAAGTTAGTCGAGAGTGGCAGGGGGTTTATTTAGCTAGCTTTTTCTCTCTTTTTTTCCTCCTCCACTCCCTCGGAGCACGAGGGTTTTTATAGCGGGAGTTACCGTTGCCTGATGTGCTTGCCCGTAGAATCGTACTCCTGGTAGCGTCTGACATCGATGCTGACATGGCATGAGGGATCGAGCCTGAGCGGGGTGTTAATGTGCCTTGATAGGCGCTCCGGTTCGCGTTGACCGGGTGCCTCATCAAGTTGACAGAGGTGTGTTGCCTCACCTGGTGCAGCTGATGTCACGTGAGTCTTATCGTAATTATTATCCTCATCACCGTCCATCCATCCACGTCCAAAAATGAAACTTTTCTTGAAGTTAAACGAATAGAAACGACTGTAATTTCACGTCGTTTTCTTTTATTTTTCGTATATTTATTTAGATCTTCTCATGCTTACGGCGGGAAGTGCGGCGTAGTCTTCGGGCCACTTCGCACTCACGGCTTCTGCTGTTTGATCGCCAACCGAGACCAGTCGTCGTCGTCTGTTTATTTTCCTTCTTCTAATATTTATTTACCTTTTTATGCACAGGAAATAAAAATAAATAGTTTAGATGAAAATAATTATAATCGTTTGGTTAATGCATTGTTGTGTCAGTATTTTATTTCGATGTCACATAATATTATTTTATGATTCAAAAAATCTAATTAATAAATCCAATCTAATTTAAAGATCAATGCTTGTGAAGCGCCAATGACTAATTGTCGTTTTTGTCTTGTCGGGTGATGAAGACATCGAATGGGGACGTGTTCGAGAAGACGCACGACGAGCTTGACTTCGAGTTCCTGGGCAACGTACATGGCGAGAAATGGAGGGTGCAGACCAACGTATACGGCAACGGCAGCACCGGCCGCGGCCGCGAGGAGCGCTACCTCCTCCCCTTCGACCCCACCAAGGAGTTCCACCGCTACTCCATCCTTTGGACCGCTCACAGTATTATGTAAGCTCTGACTTCACTGAAGCCACATTCGAGCTCAGCGATGTC